GAAACGAAAGCTGTAACCGGCACTGAAAAACAGCTCCAACCAAGTGTTAAAAAATTCATTTGCTTAAACAAGTCATTGCAAGCTTTAAGGTCACGTCATTATCGCTAACGAGCCACGAGAACGACATTAAGAAGAAGCTGTTGAACAATTCAAAAAAAAAAAAAAAAAAAAACGTAAAAATCTGTAGGTAAATGATGATCTTCGAGACTAATGATGAGACTTTATTCAACGAACTTTGTCTACTTTATCCACTTAATCAAGCTCAAATGAAACACATTCGTTGCAAGGACTTGAATGAAACGTAAAGATTCACGGTAAGAAATTTTCCAGTTAAAAAAGAAAAAGAAGAAACAAAGGAAAGAAAGTTGCAGCGTCGGTGCATGCCGCTTGCGTGTTTTGATCTAGTCGCTAGGCTACAACGCGCTCGATAGAACAATAACAAGTTTTTCCACATACTTTCTACGAATAAACAAAATCGAGTGAAGTGCAGTGCATTGGCTGGCATGGATGCATGCGCCGTGAAATTCACAACAGTCCGTCTGCATGAACGTACCCTGCATCCCTGTTGCAGCTCCCGAGGGTTCATCGGTCGGCATCTCACCGCCACCTTTACAGACTCGCTCATCTAAAAATACATGAATGAATCTAGATTAGAGGGAGGGACTTCGCTGCCTCAGCTTTGGCTCTGCCAGGTCACAAGGTTCCGACAAGATACATAATTTTATAACTGAAGAGTTGAATTTTAATTCTAACAACAAGTATAATTCTATGTAAAGCTGAGAAGATTTAAGCGATGTATGAAATATTTGTCTTGTTTCAGAATTTTTTATCCAGCAAATCTGAGCTACATTGCTATATACTAAATTGTGGATAATTTTCACTGGGAAATCGTTATCGTCGCTGCAACTGATCCTTTTGTCATTTTGACAAGTAATTCGTACAACTGTCGATGTCAAGTTATCGCGTTTCTCGAGAAGAGGTTGCGTTTTCCTCGTTAAGTATTCCATTCACGTGCCAATGGAATGTGTGCGATGCCCTTGAACCCTGGTTACGCGTTGAATCATCCCGAATTATAGCGTGCCCCAGCCTTACACCCACCTCTGTGTATGTGACCAGCATTCGTAGTATTGTATTCAAAATGACCAAAATGTTGCTCGATTGAGAGCAACGATAATTACCAATTTTTTATAAACTGAGAACATGTCTTATATTTGTAGGTGCGTACGTGTACTTTATAAAAGCATCAAACACACAAAATACTTAATTAATTTCAATGTATGCTCGGAGTTCGACGTGTCAATTGAAACTAAATAGATTTCAAGAATTAACCTGCGACCTTCAGCTTTAAGTATCAATTGGATCATTAATATTCATGTTATTTCTTGTGACACATAAAATGAATAATAAAATGGACTAGAAATAGAATGTTTACCATGTTCATAAATGTGTCATAAATAAGTCATGCATATGTACACTGTTTTTTATGATAATTAATAGATTATCATCTGTGTGTAAATATAAACCCTTGAAGATCAACTTTCAAATTTTATCTCGGGCGTTTATTAATGTAACATAAAGGCGAAATGTAAATCAAATTGGACACGTGATAAACACAATTAGGTCAGGTGCAGAAGAATCATAAATGCGTGTGGGTAATATTAACACTAAACGTATCGGCCATAAGGGGTCATTTGACGTTGATA